ACGTGCAAATTCGCCGGAGACGCGAAGACGCGTTTGCCGACCGATCGATAATTCACGAGCGTGCTCTCGGGATCTCGCCGATCTCGCAGGAGAGTGATGTTTGGTACATTGAAAAAAGACCTCCAATGACGAAATCTCGTTTACTCGGCGGGCACCAGGCCTGTGAGGAGCGCACGATCCGTTTATCGAAGTTTATCATTTCTCAGCTGCGCGACAATTTCGTTTGCGCGACCTCGGCGGGGCCCCGTGGGCTTTTCTTCCCGTCGAGCGGAGTGCGTGTGTGCCCCGCGACACGAGAACCCACGAGTGGAACTTAATCAAATGGTAAACGGCTGGAAAACAAGCAATCGTAGCCGTCGCACTGCCGTACCACTGCTAGGCAGTCGAGCATGGCAGGAGTGGAAAGGGGCGCGAGAGAGATCAAGAGAGAGAGAGAAAGAGAGAGTGGGCGCCGGAGCGGCGAAAGCGAGGGGCCAGACGGACCGTCAATCGGGAGAGGGGGTGTAAATCTGATAAAATCATCTCGAACCCTCCGGTCCTTCTGCCCCTTTTGCGGCGCAGTGCCGTGCTCGGGTTCCTCGTAGATATATCCGATACCAGTGGGGGTACCTCTCCTAAGTAACGTAAGTAATGTAAGAGGGTGGTTGTTGCTACGGTTGTTATTAAATGAGACAGCCTAATAGGCCCATTACAGACCCCTCGCCGGTCCATTCCCACATAATATAATCCTCACCGCACGCGCCCTTCCTCCCGCGCGCTCGCTCGTTGTCGCGCTGCCGCTCGTTACTGCCCTTTACCGTCTCGCCACCCCCAATATGTCGTGTATCTTGATCCGTGCGCGCTCACGCCTACGGAAATTCTCGCTCACCGCGAAAACCGTCCGCGAGACACGTCCCTTCTCACCCGCGTAATCCAGCCCGACGTGTACGGATATTAGCGTCGCGATACGCGGTGCCCCGGGGAAAAAGAAAGAATTTTGGCTCGCTGGAGGAGTTAGAGGAGTTAGAGGAAACAAATCGGCGGGAGATCGAGTCGGCAATGCGAGGTTCTGCCTGCTTCTAGAATTTCTGAAATACAATAAGCCGCGCAATTATTGCCATTCCCCTTAATCGTCGGCGCTTTAGAAGAATTTGGTTTTTCATGTGGCCATCATTGCAGTTAAGACAATGATGGTTTGTTGCCTGCATTATTCGGTTTTATCAGAAGTCGGCGCTGGACTGATTGAGTTAATAAGCAGATTTTTCTTTTATTACTTATTTCCTACAGTTCTATATAGCTAGTTGAGATAAAAGAACTAATTCTCATACGTTTCCAGTTCTGCATATTCTTATTGTTTTGATCTTTAAATACGAATATTGAAACTTTCAAAAAAAAATATATGTATATATATTCTCTATATACTGAGAGAAAAATATAGTTGCCTTTGGCGTCAACTATACGTTTTTGTGATTTTAACCAATGTTTAATTTAATGTTATGAGAAAAATATTTCTTCTAATTATTTTTCTGGTTGAAATCACAAAAGAAGTATAGTTGACGCCGAAAGCAACTATATTTTTTCTCTTAACGTACGTATATCCTCTATACTATATACGTTCAAAGTTTCAATATTCGTATTTAAAGATCAAAACAATAGGACTATTCGCGCATTGGTATTTTTACCTTATCTATTTTGCTCCGACTTCTAATATCGACTTCTAATATCGTTAGAACATTAAGACAAGATTTTCGGTACACATACTGAGACAGGAAAATAGTTGATCTAACTAAAATTATAGTTATTTTTGTCTCTCCAATTATAAGGAGATTTAACAAAGAAAATGGTTTCCTTGACCATAATGCATAGTAATTACTTTTCTATATAATTATAATTACAAGTATATCAAACATTTTTGTCTCACAGTGCGAGAATATAGATTTAATATTATCTTATATTTTATCAGGGCTTTTGAGATTTTAGAATATAGTTTATCTTTTTAAAAAATTGTTCATTTTATATTTTTTCATTATTCACTAAAAGTTTATTCTTGAAGTCGGTTAAAAAGAGCTTCTTTTTTTAGTGTCAATTAAAGATAAAAGTTTCGTCTTGTATCTCTAAATGTTTTCGCATTTTCAAGAAAGTAGTGAAACTACTCAATTTCCAGGTCAGCTGAACTTAATCCGGATGATGACATTAATCTAAGAACCATATAGACAACATACTAAACAAGTTACAGAAAGTTTCATCTTAACATCTCTAACGGTTCTCTAATTATTAGGGGAATATACAAACACAATCATCCATAAAGGCAGAACGTCTTTTTTTTTTAAAGAGTTGGTTAAGAGAGATCTTTACAATTGAAATTGCAAACAGATGCCGCTGCTCACTAAAAAACTAGATTTTTCCAGAATATCAATGACTAAAGGGGATAATAATAATTGTGCGATTTATTCTATTAGCTGGTTTTTATGGCAGATAATTATGTAATAATTTGTATCTAAAGGAAATTCGAAATTGATCCAAATGGAGGCCGGGAGGAGAGGGAGAGCAGAATTAAAATTCGCCCGACTCTCATTAAACGGGTGCTGAATGAACGTTAACGCGCGGCCATGGTTCGGTTAGTGCGATCTACATTGCTAATGCGAAACGCGATGCACTGCGTGCATCAGTGCACGCGTGCGTGTAAAATTATGCAAACAACAAGGGGACGGATATTAACCCGCCGCGATAGTGTTTTCGCATCTCTCCGGTGTCAAAGTTTCACGAACGCGGATACTTTCATCACGTACGCGTTAATGTGTCTCTAATTGCCGAGAGGGCGCGGTCTTAATTTATTCAACAATTCCGCCAATTACGAGAGCGGCGAATATGAATAACGACGATGTTGCGAATTAATTAATCATTAGTAAGTATTAGCGCAACTCCATTTACCGACACTTTCGCATCAATATTAAATGGCCACGGCGCTGAATTAGCCGTTAAACGATGGCGTTTAAATGTTTGAGAGCGCAGAGAGGGCGAGAGGAGGAAGGAGATTTCTTCAATTTCCGGCCTCTTCATTCTTCTCACCTCGCGAGAGCGCTTTTTCCGTATAACTTTTTTTTCTCTTTTCGAGATTCCTCGCTAACCGCTTATTATAAATAAAAAAGACCGACAACAGTGCATGCGCTGCGTATTTCGCACAGGTGACTGAAATATCGTCCTGCACAGTGAAATGAATGGCGATCGCCGATCAGTACAAGGTTCGGATTTCGGCCAGTTATTTCGACGCCATCAACCAATAAAATCGAAGGTCACATCGCCGCATCAACCAGAGTTTAATATAACGGTATTGTGCAACATACGTTGTACGCGCGAATAAACGATGCGCATGATACACGTGTTTGCGACGAAGTATTCTCTCTCTCTCTCTCTTTCTTTCTCTCTCCCCCTTTTTTCTCTCACTCTTTCTCTCACACACATTCTTTTTTTCTTTTTTTTCTTGCCGCGCTATTAATAAAAAGTACAAAGTCACTGTTGTCGCTTCGCTTCTCCGTTTGCGAAGGAGCGTTTGGCTTTCCGCGAAAATGAAACACGGCTCGCAGAAAATGACGCAAAGCTCTCCCACCGCTAATCGTTCTTAAGACTGAATTTAGAAACATTGCTTCACTTTCACGGTTTCTCCGCGAAGAGGCTGTATCACGCGATTATATCATACGCATATACGAAGTGTCTGAGAAGTCGCGGATTTTCTTCGAGTTGAGGATATTTTCAAGTCAAAATGAGAACAATGACCGATTGTTCGGATAGTTCCTGAAATGTTGATACCTTCCCTATTATAATTGGATTGAAATCCACAAACGATCGGGAAGTTTGCAGCGCGGATATCACGAAGGGTTGTTCACGAGGGGTTGTTCTCCGATTTATTTGAAATATAAAGACACCTCGAGTGTCAAAGTGAGAGCAACGACCGATTGTTTTGATAGTTCCCGAAGTGTTGATACTTTTCCTATTATAGTTGGATTAAGAATCATAGATGATGGGAGGATTTACAGCGCAGATATCGTTGCGTTCCAATTTATTTGAAGTATAAAGATACTTTGAGTCAAAGTGAGAGCAATGACCGATTGTTTTGGTAGTTTCCGAAATATTGATATTTTTTCCATTATAACTAGTTTGATAACCATAGAAAATCGGGAGGAGAGGTTACAGATATCGCGAAGGGTTGCTCTCCGATTTATTTGAAGTATAAAAACACTTCGAATCATCGACCGATCACTTTTGTACGTGACAGTCATCGAAGTTAACAGTTTTTCAATTATAACTCATTGAAAACCACAGATGATGACGGTGCAGATATCATGAAGGATTACTCTCGAATTTATTCGAAATACAAAGACATTTCAGGTCAAAGCGAGAACAATGGCCGATTGTTCTCGCGCGCGATAGTTCCCGCGGTGTTGATAGTTTGCCAATTATAATTGATTGAAACCCGCAGATGATTGAAAAGTTTATACCGCAAGTAGACAACGAAGATTCGCTCTCCATTTGATTCGAAGTACATTTGGATTTAACGAAATTCCGACTGCAAGTGCAAGCACGAGATTGTCCAATTTTGAAAATCTTCGCGCGCGAATCTCTTCGGCGATGTAAGAAAAAACCAAGTTTCCTCGAAATGTTCCTCGCGGACAGTTACATAAAGCGGCAACATGACGACACTTTAACCGAGCGTATCGATTGAGTGACGAAACCCCGGCGGCTAAGAGCCTTTTCGCACAAGCTACTTTCGCGATTGTGGCGCTTCATCGTCCGAGAGCTTTCGCTTATCTGTCTACGACTCTATCTTTCCGCGTCCTGCGAACGCAATGTCGCACTGGTACCGATAGGTAACGCGATTTCGCGGAGTACCAGCCGATGGAACCTGGCTGAGTCGCGACCGAAACATTCAAAATAATCCTCCGCGATCGGTGCCTCCGACCTTCCCGTCGCAGGGAACTCGCGAGATCCGCGAAGGGGAGCAGCGGGACCAAGGGCACACGTACCTCGATAGCATGGCGAGATCCGCCGATGCCTGATGGCCCAACAGAGGGTTGTTAGAGGCGTCACCGGGCGGCGAGAAGGTCGCGGCCGGACTGGTAGCACTGGTAGCACACCCGATACCGATACCCGCGGAATTGACTCTGGACTCCAATCCGGTAACGTGTCCACCGGCGGTGGACACGCCGCGTTGGCCGCCGGACAGCCTCAGGGACGTGGGGGAGGACGAGACTCGGCCAGGGCTGCCACAGGACGGCAAGATCCTCTGCGACGGCTGCGAGTTGGCCGGCGGCGACGTCCTGTCGACGTCCGACGACTGCCTCTCGCCGGACACGGTGGACGTGGAGTCCACCGGCGGGGACTCCGGCCTGCCGAGGATGCTGGAGATGCTGAAGGACGTGTATTGAGGGTTGCAGGCGGGCCTCAGCGCCGGCTTGCCGACGTCGAAACTGAAGGAATGGTGGTGGTTGCTCAGGCCGCAGCCGGACTTGCCGTTCTTCTCCTGCAGCAGCAGCTCCGCCGGCGTGGAGCTGCTCCTAGAGCCTTCCAGCTCCAGGTCCTCCTCCGACACCACCGACACCTCGATCTCCGTTTCGCCGGACATGCCGCGGAGCCGCTCGATCGCGGAAACCTCCTCCTCTTGCTCCTCCTCCTCCTCCTCCTCCTCCCGTGGCAGTTCCTCGGCCGCAAGTCCAGCTAACCCGGCGCGACTAACTTGGGCACGAAGCCGCGGTTCCCGTTCGTGGTCGCGCGTGGTAGCGGCTCCTCGAGCCCGTTGACTGGCCCCTCTGGTCTCTGCGACGGCACCTCGCCGGCACCGGTCCGCCGGCGGAGTTAAACGGAATCCGTTGGCTCGCGCGGCGCGACCCTGGCCCGGCGGTCCTCCTCGCACGATCGCATGTCACAGTGGCAGCAGAACCGAATACGTTACGCGCGTCGATCGCGGTTGTGCGCTCGTTAGTGGCGAGGATGCGCGTCCGCCGTCAGGACGTCGTCCCGCGTCGTCGTGGATCGCAGACGGATCGCTCGATCGCGCGACATTCGTAAGCGATACCCTGGACGACAGGATGATAGGAGACAAGACACTTGGAGGGCCCACCCTTCGCGGAGTCGCCCTCTCCCCCTATCGTCCTTTCGCCACCTATCACACCCCCTCTCTGTGTCTTCGCCTCCCTCTCTCTGTCTCACTCGTGTCCTCGCTTTCTCCCTCTCTCTTTCTCTCTATCTTCCTTTACCGCTGCCAATCCGCCCCAGCCTGAACACGCAACTTCTCCTCTCCTTCCGAAGAGAGAGCCTCTCCCGCGCCTTCCGTCCTTTCAGCCCAAACCCGTCGTGAAGCGTTCTCAGGCGCGTGTCGCACCGTGTTCACTTCCCTCAAGTCACTGCCACTGATCGCCGAGCACTCGTCTCACAAAGCAACGGCCGCAAATCCGCCGCTTCATCGCGACGCAACCTTTCCCGTTCGCGGAAACGCGATTTGAACGTTGCGGCCACTGTACTCCGGGCTCAGACGTGCAACAGCGTCGGGCAAACAGCTCGCATGTAAGAATGAACAGAAGATAACCTCCCGGCGAACAACGTCCGCGTAACGCTGCGACGCGCTTGTGCCGCGTCGCGTCGCGTCACGTCGCGTTGCGTCGCGTCGGAATTTCGACTCGCGCGCGTCGGCCAAAGCGTCGGCGCGCAGACAGACGGCGTTCTCGTCCGTCCGTCCGTCCGTTCGTATGGTCCCGCGTGCGCTCGCGCCACCAAGGAGAGAGAGCAGCGCACACCTACCCTCGTGTTACGATGATGCGCTTCGCGGCGAGCGAGTGACGAGCCGCGGCGGATAGCCACTACTGTGCTCGCGCACTACTAAGGGTAGGAAAACGCCGGAGAAACCGCAGGTCACACGGACGAGGCGAGCCTCGTCCGCACACACTCTCATTCGCGCGCCTCGCACGGCGAGAGGGTAGGTATAGGCAGATAGATAGGTGGAGGAAAGAGAGAGAGACAGAGAGAGAGAGAGAGAGAGAGAGAGAGAGAGAGAGAGAGAGAGAGAGAGAGAGAGAGAGAG